ACTACAGATCAACATCTTGTATGGACAGTATGCAAAAATCCTCAACAAAATACCAGCAAACCCAATTCAGCAGCATAATAAAAGGATTATGTACTGTGATCAGTGAAATTTATCTCTGGAATGCAAGGATGGTTCTACATACAAAAATTGATCAGGGTGATTTACTACATTAACAGAATTAATGGAAAAACACATATTGTCATTTCTTTTAAAAATTATTTATTTAATCAGATTAACTTATTGTTATTTTAATTTGACCAGAGAGAGACAGAGAGAGAAGGAAAATTAGAAAGCAAGCTACCAAGTCCAGGACTCAAACCATGGTCAACCACGTGGGAATCTAGCACCTTAACCACCATGGCACCTGCGGCTGCCCTCATACATTATCATTGCAATTAATGTAGAAAAAGCATTCAGCAAAATTCAATACCCTCCCTGCCTTCCTTTCTTTTTACAGAGGGTGTGTGCACTTGCCAGAGAGCGAGATAGAGAGATGGAGAACACACACCTCAAAGGGCATGGTCACAGGGCAGTTCCTTCTCCATTTCTCCACCCCTTTGGGATTTGGGGTACACAGTCATATGCCCAGCATGTTTTTCGAGGAACTGAGGCTGAGATTTAAACGATGCAGTTGACCATGTGGGACCTGGCTGTCTTAACCATCAGGTCTTTCATAATAAATACGCTCAACGAAATAGGAATAGGAAGTAGCCACGTCAACGTAATAAAAGCCACACATGGAAATCCACCGCGAGCATTATACTCACTGGTGGAAGACGGAGCGTTTTTCCTCCGAGATCAGAGACAGGGCAAATATACCCACTCTCACCACTCAACATGGTACAGGTAGTCCCCACCAGGGAAATTAGGTGAGAAAAATAAATACACAGTATTCACATTGGAAAGGAAGAATGGACGGACGGGATCTCTGTTTGTAGATGGCATGCTCATCTTTTTTTTTTTTTCTTTTTTGGCTAGAGGTTGGGTGTCCTTACCAGAGTGAAACAGAGAGGGAGAGGAGAAAGCATCCCCGTGGAGAATGGTCAGGTTGCAATCCCTTCTCCTCCATCTCTTGGGTTTGGTCAAGGGCACATGTGCCTGGCATGCTTCTCAAGTGGCTGGTTCCAAGACTAAACCACGGGGTTAGCATTATGGAACCCAGCTCTCTTAACCACCAGACCACAGAGCTGGCCCCATGTGTCATATCTTGATTGTGCTGGTTACATTTGTCAAAGTTAATGGTATTACACACTTGAACTGTGCACACTGTATTGATTATAAATTTTCCCTTAAAAAAGTTGATTTTCTAAAAATACTTAAGAGATATAAACAAGTGCAATGTAGAGATATTGTTTAGATCTGATTCTTCATTTTTTTTTTTTTTTTTTTTTAAGAATTATTTATTTTCGAGACCAGCAGATAGTGTAATTGCTGTCGCTGGACTCCCATGTAATTGACTGTGATTTGAGTCCCGGACCCGGTGGTTTAAACTCACACTAGGCATGTGTGCATGCATGCCCAAGATCCCGAGAGGAGAATGGAGGAGAAGGGATTGCGGCGGGGCCATCCCCCCCAGGGGGTGATTTCTCACTTTCTCTGTCTCTCTCTTTCTGGCGAGCATATGCACCCTATAGCAAAAACCTCTCCAAAAACGAATAATAAAAATAAAATAAGAATTATTTATTTTATCTTGTTATTTATTTTTTAATTTTTAAACTTTATTTATTTATTTATATTGATTTATATTTGACTAGAGAGGCACAGAGCAAGAGAGAGAGAAAGCAAGCCACCAGGTCCAGAACTCAAACCATGGTTGGCCATGTAGGAGTCTAATGCCAGAACCACCACACCACCTGCTGACCACTAGACCCTGATTCTAATAACAACCCTAACACTTTAAATGCTGGCTGAATATTTGCTGATATTCATATTGTTAAAAATGTTCATCCCTAATAATTATTTTGTGGTTAAATTAAAAGGAAGGAAGAAGCCCTTCTCTTTCAGAGAGGTATTTACGAAAGAATTGATACAACATGTGTAAATCTCTTTACTTATTTAAAGTTTATTTATGTATTTATTCCATAAGAAAGAGAAACAGAGCAGGACATAGAGTCAGAAAGACAGGGTCTGCTTGGGCCGGCTCCATGGCCTGGTGGTTAAGGAGCCCGAACCCACATGGCCAACTCCATGGCTCAAGTCCCAGACCCAGCGACTTGAGGAATAGGTGCATACATGCCTAATCTCCTGAGAGGAGGGAGAGATGGAGAAGGACCCAGCGCGGTCCTGCCCCTTGGGGAGTGCTTTCTCACTCTTCCCTCTCTGTCTCTCTCTGGCAAATGCGTAAGCCTTCTGGCAAAATTTAAAAAAAGAAAGTCACTCAACCAAATGCAATGTGTTGATCTTATTGGATCCTAAGAACAAACACATGACTTAAAAAAGTATTTATGTTGCAACTGGGGAAATTTGAATACCGATTAAATAATGGATGACATTAAGGAACTCTGGGGGAAAATTTTATTTATTTATCTTAACAGAGGGTGTGTGCACTCATCAGAGAGAAAGAAAGCGTGTCCCAGCGGGCCATGGTCACACCACAATCCTCTTTCCTCCACTCTCTGTCCTGTCAGGATTTGGGGCATGTTCACCTATGAGCCTAGCATGTTTTTCCACCTGCCAGCACTGGGATTCCAATCATGGGTGGCCATGTGGGATCTGCCTCTCTATGCACAGGGACACTGTACTACAGAGCCAGCCCTAGAGGGGGTAGAATCCGTTTGTTTTTGTTTTCTTAAGAGAGCACAGTCATGTGAGAGTGAGTGAGACTCAGCAAGAAGAGCACCCTCCTGAGTCTGGTCTGATCTCCTCCCACCTGTCCTCCAGCCCTGGGGAGCTTGGGCACTCACACACGCCGGACCAGCCTGTTCAAGCTAACCGAGCCAGGGATTTGAACCTTGGTGACGACATGGGATCCAGCTTCCCTTGAGCCGTGTGTTACCGCTGTACCACAGTACCAGTCCAGGAGAGACTTTTCCTTTGACGTTATAGTTTTGTGGTTCTGTACAAGAGATGAAGTGACCACACAGTGGCACAGCTACAGAAAGCAATGCTCAGGGCTGGCAGGTGGCATGGTGGTTAAGGTGACTGGACTCCCACACAGCTGACTGCGGTTCGAGTCCTGGACCTGGCAGCTTGCTATCTCATTTTCCTTCTCTCTGTCTCTCTGTGGTCAACCTCTAAATAAATAAGTAAATAAAAGTAATGACAATAAACTAGGGGGAAAAAAAAAAGGAAAAAACAAGGAAGGAAGCAAAGCTCTGTCAGATTAATCCACAGGGGAAGGCTCCCAGTAGGCACCCAAAGCCCTCCCTGTAGATATGTGCGAAGCTATTGAGAGGGCGATCAAGGCTCTCTGGCACGGGGTGCTGCGTGAGTCACACTGCCACTCCAATGCCAGTGGCTCCTGGCCTGCTCTGCGTCAGAGTAGAGGAATGCGTCTGGGCAAGCATGGTCGCAGGGTCGTCTGAGCCGGTAACCTGTGCACTTGTGCCCACACAAGCTAACTTGTGTGGGGCTGGACTCTTCTGCTAACCAAGGCGGGGAGGAGACGAAGGCGCCGGCGCTGTGGTTTGCACGCAGACGAGGACATGGTATTGCCTAAACTGCTGACCGAAGCCTGGGGGATCAGACAAACATCCCACAGAGAAAATGGGGCGTGCAGCACGTCCACCGGACCTTTGGCCTCCACAAACCCAGAGTCGACATTTAGGGCTGACTGGTTAAACTATCTTTCCTTCCAGGTCCTGTCCGCCCCCAAACCTGCAGCTGGGGAATGAGAGAGCCAGGAGCTGGTGCTGGGCGTGGGCCAGGCCTTGGAGGGCTTCTCTTCTTCCCTTTCCACGTGGAGCAGGGACTGTCCTTATAATACGGACACCTGCCTGGACGTGTTACTAAGCAGAATGGAAGTCCCCTTTGCAGCCTATTTCACTCCCCACGGCCCAAGGGAACCACCCACCACCACCTTGGGAGCTCTTTCCTTTCTCTCTTCTGGTCCTTAACTTGTAGTCGACCTTCGGTCTCAAACCAGAAGGAGCAAACAGCCTAGGTCCTGGTGGCCTTTCAGGCCTCCCAGTGCCCGAGCTTGGTGGCTGGAGCACCTCGCCCAGAGCGGGCGGGCCCTTTGCCCTCTGGGCTGGGTTTTTCCAGACATGGTCGCCCTGGGGCGTGGCAGAGTGCTGGCAGGGAGGAGGCATGCAGAGACTGCCTAGGAGACCCGCTGGGGACAGCGCGTCTGCCTGGGTGTGATTCCCACTTAAGGGGGACTCTAAGAGGAGGCCCGCCAGGTCAAACGGGCCCCGGGGTAGGAGCGGAAACTTCCTGGAATGAAGAGAAATACACAGGGAAGGGCTAAAGCAACGTGGCCTGGGGGGAAAGGCCGTGCCGGCGTGAACCGCTGCCAGGAAGCCTTTCCCAGCCTCCCCTTCCTCCTCTGCAGAGGGGGCTCCCAGGGGAGGTTGCGCTATCCGCGGCTTAGGTGCAGCTTCCGCGGAATGAATCAGGAGCAGGGTCTGCAGCGACCACCCGCCGGCTCCCCAGGCCCTGCTGCCCACCCCGTGGCCCCGTGCACCGCGGGGTCCCCATGTCCGGCCCCTCGTCTCCGGGCCCCGCTGTCCTGGACAGGAGCGCTGCTGGCGAGCGAGCC